TTCAAAGCTGATGGTGAAGTGCTTGATATTTATTCAAAGCTGATGGTGAAAGGGCTTGATATTCGGATACCTTTTCAATGGCGATGTTCACCATGGCCTCTTGTAGAATGCCTTGTCCTTCCAGGCGTCGTTGAGCTCCTGGCGGGACACGAGGCCCGTGTCCTTTTCTTGTGAAGCAGCTTGTAGCACGCCGGTTGTTTGGGGTGGTGCGATGTTCAAAAGGTATATAGACGGATGTTCCAAAAGGCAACTGGTGGATTGTACATGACACAGCTAGATTTAGGAAGCGCTCTTCAACATGTGAGTCATTTGGCAATCTTCACAGCGTGGGTAGTGGAAAAAGCAGTATCTACATCAGACCGTACTCTTCTAGCTACCTTTCCGGCAACTAATGGCCACCTCTCAACCTCATGGGCATGGAACTGCAAGGCTTGTAACTGGTAGTGACGCAACATCTACATATACTGTACAACATGGTTATACATGCATGCAAATGCCACAAGAAACACAAGCAACACCTTGACCCCTTTGGAACACTCTGCCCGAACCATTTCCTTCTCCAGCATTTTCCGGCGTGTGAGCCATCTGCCTTGACGGGGCAACTGATGGAGTTGGGGGTAGCTACGAGGCTGCAAGGCGAGAGCCGACATCGAAGCTACATGGCTGGAAGATAAGACCACTCCAAAAACATGCTAGGGGGAATGATGAAGAAATGTGAGTCATGTGTTCAAGCGCTCTGTATGCTAAGTTGCTGGGGAATGGCAGATATCCGAAGAAGCTGATGTGTAACATGAAGAGATCCAATGACCCGCTTCCCCCAATCTTCCTCCAACAACAATGGAAGGTGTCGAGAGCGTGCAAAATGGGCTGATGACGAAAAGAAAAATGCTGCGTCGCAGCATCTGAGGCAGCCAAGTCCAGAAAGATCAACGGTCGTAATGCTTCGCGCGATCTGTCAGGAATCTGGGTGCAAGAGAAGGGGCAGAATCCAAAACGCACGAAATCGAGCCAATTCGTCCACCGTCACGTCAGGGTGCAACAAACACCACCCTGTTGAGCCACTACAAAACTAAACTCCAGTCATATATATATATATATGTGGTTACAGTATCTCTCTCTCTCTCTCTCTCGGAGGCTCTTCAACCGAATATATCACTGTATACCACTGTATATCAGAAACACTGATGGGCTTCAACCACAATCTGCAACCAGCCAGCCCCTCGTCTTCACCTGCCAGCGATCTCGGACCCACTTCGCTGGGGGTTCCTGGCTCTTTCCAGCGCCCGCCTTCCCCTGGCATCGTCGCGGTGGTGAAAACGGCTGGGGACCCAACCCTCCCAGGCCGTTGATCGATAGATACTGCTGATGCTGGGTGATGTTCGGTTCATTTATCCTAGCATGTTAGGACGAAATAGGACCTAGGATGACCTAGGATCCTGAATATATCTGTTTTGTTGTGCCGCTGATCCTGGGTCGCTTGAAACACCCGGACCACCAAAAGGCTCCCTCCGCGAGACGAGCCGGTGCCGTGAAACGACGGGCGCCCTCTGCATCTGAGTCACGGGACGTCATCGAGCCATTGGGCCGCATTACTGCATTTCTCTTGGTCTCCCACACAAGCACCTCAAAGATTCTTTGCTCTGGCCACTGCTCACTGGTCACCCTGAACTTGCTTCCTCACACAAAGATACGCAAAGTGCTGGTGCAAGGGCTGTGAAACCTTATGAAACCTTCATACCATCCTCCTTCAGGCACTGTTCTGGAGTTCGCGACATTTGGCCTCGATTCATACCTTGTGCATCCTTGGTTGGGTCTCCCTGTTAAATCCACATCTTGCCCCCCACATGTCTGCTGAAAAGGAGCCAACACAAGGTAGCTTTGACGTGGAGGCCACATGAGTCAACGAACTCAAGAACAGTGCGGCTTTATGCATGCACAAGGTATGAATCAAGTCCATGTAGCTCCACCCATCACCACAACCAAAAACAACTCCATCAACGGCTTTGAGTGGATCCCTTGCACCCAGAAACACAGCACCCCCACGCCTCGTCCTGCTGAAAGTTGGGCCTTGGACCTGGACCCAGGCTCCGGCGGTGAAACCGCACAGCCCTGAAAGCATCATGGCTACCTGGATGATCATTGAAATCCTCTACCAACAGGTGGTTAGTGGTTTACTTATTTTACTTATAGACTTCCATGATGACTTCAGGGAGTGCAGGTTTTAAAGTAATTCGGTGTGGGGCGTTTTTGATCGGACAGCATGTCTATCCATCCTGGGGGCACAAGAGGGTGTGTGTGATCAATCAATGACTATGATTATAGTCTGGTATTCAAGGAAAACCGTGTGGGACATTGAGCAATATCTAGTCAATATATGTTTAACTATGGAGTGGGGCAGGCCTGCCCAATTTTTCCAAAAGCTTCGGAGCCCCTTGGTGACCAATCGAGACTTGACCAAGAGCTTACCGATATAAGATTATATATATATACCCTAGAAGTCCAAAGACTATATATTGATATATAAGTTTTATATATATATATATTGACCGTCTGAAGTAAAGGAAGTTCCCTTTCAGGTCCCCTAAAGACCATTCTGTTGGACGGTGAAAAGGACAGCCTCCCGAAAGCCGCCCTTTGGCACCGATTCTCTCAGCCAACGGGGGCCCAAGCGGAGGCCCCTCGAATGGCACCGATGTGGGTCAAAGAACGCCAAGCTCGCTGAAGAAGACCCAAGTGACACGTGTTTTCATCATGGAGAGTGAAAAACTACCCGGACCTGGTAGGGGATTTCATGCTGATTCTTTTGGGGCCAGGCCATCCAGGCAAACCATGATTCGTTCACAAAGTGTGTCCTAAGTTGCTGGACCGAATCCTTGACCTGTCGGGATGAGCCGGTGCTTCATCGCCGTTCATCGCTTCTGACCCCGACAAAGAAGGGCAGTGCCTTTGGGCAGGGGGATCAGCTGCGAGACGATCTCCTTGATGATATCCTTCTGCCTCAGTGGCGCGTCAGTCAGAAGTCTGAAACTCAGTGGCCGGTTCAAAGATCTCTCGTCCCCAACTAGCTCGTGGGATTGCATAACGTGCCGTCGTTGGTAGCAACTAACTCATGACATCCTCGCATCAACCTGCAACAAATTCCGACCAACCGTCCATCAAACACACAGAACTCCCTCAATCACCCCTG